AAAACGCGAGGTCGACCATTATTTTAGATGAAACATGTCTCATTATCGTAAAATTAATATTGGCTAGACATCTGTTAGCGACTAAAAGGGGGGAGGGGGCTAACAGATGACATGAAAGGACAAAACAAAAAACTTGACACACCGCTTACGTCACTAGAGGCCTATAGCAAGCAAGGAAAAAATACTAGACCACGTCCCAGGTTTACAGCAGTACACTAAAACCTTTCTTCGCTAACATGAACACGTTTAATTGAATCCATTTGCCTAATTAAACATTCGCGCACCATCTTATCTATTAGCCTTGTCAACAAAATAAAAGCCATCTTAACGGCAATGAAGGTTTAAACAATTTTTAAATCACGCAAAATAAAAGATTAATAGAACCAAAATTGCAATGGTTGTAGACATTTCCATATCTAGAATAAAATAAAGGTAGAAAAAAACAAGATAGATGAGTACATTTTGGAAGAGAAATTAGAATCTACCTGTTTCCACTTTGCTAAAGTACAAATTAAAAGCGACTTATATTTATGAATTGCACTTTAACACCGGTACTTAAATCTTGAATACCCATTTTATAGCGCAATTTTTATGCTTATAGATTTCTCAAAGTGTTTTGATGAAATAGCACAATGTAAACACCGGAGGAAGGGAACCTAATTTAAAATGCTCCTGTACAGTGAGAGGCTACTTACAGAACATAGAGCCGAACATAAATACACTCATATAAAGAACGAACAGAACATAAAAGCAACTCGTCCGATGTTCGTTTCACTCGATCAGTCTCGTCAGTACAAAAAATGTTTCCAAAATGAGTTTGGGTAAATATCTTTCCCAAAGTATTCAACCGCAGAGGCTCGTCACCTGGTACTTACAATGGACCTCATTCACCAATCGTAAACAAACAACATTTAGGCACGTGATTCTCTATCTCTGCTATACAAATTACAATCTAATTTTAATACACAGTGGCTATCACGTGACAGTTTTTTTTTTGTTTTATCAATATTATCACGTGATTAAAAGTTGTTTGTTTACGATTGGTGAATGAGGTCCATGATTAAAAGTCCATGACAAGAAACGAAAGACAAGAGTCGCTTTAAAGACTTATAATGGAAACTGCCTTTTTTTTTTTTTTGACGCTTCCGAAAAAACGGCCGTGAAATTAAATGAGTTATGTTGAATTGTGATGGCCCGCTTCATAACGTCCCAAGACACCCACATGCAGGCTGGAAAAAAAAACGCCCCGCAATTTTTACCATCTCTCCATTTAACTATGGAGATCTTCTTTGTTCTACTTTGTTCTTTTCTCTCCTCCGACGTCTCCTTTTCTCTTTGTTCCTCACCCCCTCACTCACGAATATGTTCTCGAAAATGACGTATTATTAAGTATCAATTTGGTTTGGTTTTTTTTGAAGTTATTTTTATAAGTATCCAAAGTGGTGATATGCGTAATAATAATAATAATAATAATAATAATAATAATAATCCTATACTCTTAAGCGAGCAATTCTTGTATATATATATATAAATTTTATTTCGAAAACGGCCCTAACGATTTTCTTTAAAATGTCACGGTATATGCATATTAGTGAGAAAAAATTCTCAACTCATAGGCCACATCGGGAAAACTCGAGGTCGACCGTTATATCGGTTTGAAAATGTCTCATTATCGAAAAATTAATTTTGACTAGAATGTTTTATGAATGAAAATTGACCATGACGTAAACGGGAAAAACGCTGCTTACGTCACTAGGCTTACCACAGTACACTCAAATATTTGTTTGCAAACAAGAACGAGTTTCAAAGAATCAATAGACCTAATTAAACATTTGCGCACTATCTTATTGTAGATTGATTTATTATGGAACTATGAAAGAAAAGTAATGAAATTAAATGTGCCTATGTATGATTAGTTATTGTGTTTTAAGTGCTTAATAAATTGCTTACACTTTAATTGCCTAGAGCGGTGTAGATACCTTTTCGTTTGTTGTTTATTTTGCTGGTGACGTCCAGCTGTCTCGTTCTGAGGCCGCATGCAACCAGGTGCTCTCTTCTATGTCAGCTAAGGCAAGCTGGCGCCTAAGCTGGTCTTTTAAGCGTTTCGGTGTTATGTCGACCACTTTTTTAGCTCACCAAAAAAAGACTGCTTTTAGCATGCGTTCGTCTGACATTCGTCTCCCATACAGGATATTGCTCTGTCCAGCGTAACTGTCTGACTTAAAGAATTCCCTCTATACAAAGGCCGCGGATACACATTTGAGACCAAAAGAAAATCTTAATCGACCACCTGCGGACAATGCTTGGATGTGGCAAAATATGTAGGTCACAGCTGGGGCTGCGTATCCTTCCTTATAAATCTCCGGACTCGAAGACAAGCCTTAAAATTATTATTATTTTGCTGGTGAATTATTACCATGTGTTCATGCTTCGGTGTCTACTGTCCCGTACTAAAACAAAGGAAATGGTCATAACACAGCTTCTCTAAGCCTTACTCGCTCAAACTAAACATAATATCTAGCTAGCGGTCAACGAGTTTGCGTACGCTGCAGCCTCTTTTGATTTAACTATAAACCTCGGTAAAAAGCTTGGGGTTAGGGCATGGTGACGAAAGGCCCAGGAGAGTTCTGAATGGAGGGATGTGTAAAAGCAGGCCATATCCCTCCACTGGATGTAGCACTACTGGGATAAATGGATGGCAAATACCGGTATGATTTTCTTATAGTCCGACAGTCAGGCTGGACAGGGCAAGTATCCCGTATGGGGGACGAACATATTTTTCGGCGTAACAGAGGAGGTGCCACACGGAAACGTTTCTTTAGAGAACTAATGCAATGATTTAAGTCTAGTAAGAAAAAATGCGCCATTTTACTTTGTCACAAAGTGCCTGTTTTACCCTTTAACGTAGAGATTTGCGTCACTTGATGTTTCGTATTAAAGCCATAATGAATATACTAATTCCATAATTAAATGTCTGAACGTAACCATCTAAAAAGTTACACTGCAAAGACTTTCTTCCAAGCCAATTATAGAAGCCTACAATATTTTTATGCAAAAGATGTATTGTAAAACTATAAGACGGACGTGAGCTGTGGTTTGTCTAGACTGTAGGAGGACTTAAGAGACTTTATATTTAATCGCCATGTACAATTACATTTAGAACTAACAGAACACTAAAGCAACTCTTCAGATTAGTAGTCTTTATCTGATCGTTCATTTTCGTAATTACAAAATATTCCCAAAATGACTTCGAGCATATAACCTTTCTTAGGAAATTATTAAACCGAGCGAGGCTCGGCCACCTGATATTTGTATTTATAAAGCGCTATTAACAAACAAAATGTAAGCTCAAGGCCACTGTGATACATTACAAAGACAAACACGACAGCTAACATGACAAACTAAATCTAAAAAAAGTTTTAAACAGATAGGTCTTAATGTTCTTAAAAGTGGTGTAGCATGTTGTCTGTCTGAGATCAATGGGGAGTGAGTTCCATACCTTTTATCCGTGTTCTTAAAAATCTCGCAGACCGTAACTTTTGAGGGAAAAACGTGGCACCACTAAAAGCGTCCATTGAGCGTACCAAATATTTATCGATTTTATTGTGTTTCACTTGACTTATGCACACAAACAGCTCGCAGCTATTTCCTAGTTTTAGTTAATGGAAAAAAACTATGCTTAAGAAAAAGACGGAAGTCTGTTTTTTTGTGCAATTTAACATTTTGTATTTGTAAGCTATATAGACTCGGGCCCTATTGGAGGGAAACACCGAAAATAAAATAGTAAGGTCTTTCAAAAAGTTTGTAATGTTTCACGAATAGCGAATCTATCCAAACCGTTTCTTAGCAAGCACCTCAGAGGTATATTAAAAAAAAAAGGACCTGTGTATCATGGTATTTTAGAAATCTGTTGGAAAATGAACGCGTGGTAGTTCACCTGCATAAAGTTGAACAGCGTTTCTCAAACTTTGGGCGCTCCTTCCTCAGGCGGTCTCAAGGTCAACTCAAGGGTATGCGAAGTTCTGATAGAGTTTTTGGCAGAGGTATCTGCAACACTATCGACACAACCTTGTTTGTAGAAGTCTTCTGACAATATTTTACATGCCAGTAAGTCTAGAACGCTCATTATCGATAACAGGTTGTTCTTTAGTTTAATTAAAGAAAAACAAAACAAATGTTTGTTTTAAATCGTTCTTCTGCCTTTTATAAAAAAAAATAGCGTCATATGATTCTTTGCGATCTCTCTGTAGACTTAATGATCTTCCAGAAGCCCTAAAAGTGCATGACTGATATATAGGTTGTTTAGTTTGTTGAACTTAAGAACAAAAGGAATAATTTAAATACACAAAATGTGGTTAATGTAATTAAACGTCTAGGTTTGTGTCTGTTGATTAGTTGCGATATTTCTTTTATCAATGAAAATATGACCATGACAATTTTTCTTCATCCCTTGGGTCGCCCCTGTGTTTGTGTGATAGCACAAACACTATCTGTTTGTTTTAAAAATTATATTATCAACATAACACATTTGAACTGTCATATTTTATAATTCTGACACAACAAATGAAAATATCCAGTAGATAAACAAGCAAATATAAAAATCATTTTCTAATTAAAAAAAGCTTATCTAATGGAGAAGAGCTCCACCCTTAAAATTATATATATATATATATATATATCAATAATGCACATGTTATCTCCCATATTCGATCTCAAACAAAATAATTGATTGTCAATAATTAATTGACTAATTGGGTATTTTTTTGGTTTATGATTTGATAGTTACGATAATAATTGTATAAGTATCAACTTGATCGGAGAATGCGTGAGGGAGAAATAGCGTTAGCAATTATTTAAAGGGACTAAACCCCCAAAAATGTATTAATATGATTGAATACAGAAGGATTAGTTTCCCTTGTGGGTATCAAACGAAATAATTAAATTTAATTAATCATCTGTAATTATTTGACTTATTGGTAACTTTTTAAAAATATTTTCTTGAATAATTGTGCGAAAGTTTCAGATCGACTTGGTGTAAGAGAAAAAAACATACACCCACTTTATACCAGACAGACAGACAGACAGACAGCCAGATAGAGTGAGTTGATATAAGCTTTGTAAAAAGGTGTTACAAGACAAACAAAATGCTAATTTCAAAGGCCAAATGTCAACGTTATGTAATCGTGTATTGTTAGTTTACTAGTTCAATGTAGTCAAATTTTAAAATATATATATATTATTGACTAAGAAATGTTAACAAATTAAAAAACAAAAAGCACTTTTATTTATCACTTTTAAGAAAAAGAAATTGCTACACGCTAGCGAATTTCTTATGTTATTAAGTTAACATAATCGAAAGTTCTGCAAATCAAGTTTTATTGTAAACTATTACAAATATAAAGTATAAATTTCTCGACTCGTAGAACCTTTTAATTTCAAGTGTAGTCATGAAAAGGTTATAAAGGCATTTTTTTAAGATGAACGTATAATACACATTATATAATGCATTTCACCAGGTTTCAAAAATAAATAAAAAAAATATCTTATAGATTTATTTTTGTTTCTAAGTTTCTTCTAGTTTAATATAATATATAAAGCATATATTCTATATATTGCAACTTCTATTGAAAAAAATAATACCGTCACCCGAGACTTTAAATGCCACAGCATAAATAAAATAAAAATAAACATGTGGTTAACTAAAAACTAAACTGGTATTTAAATAGAAAACAAAATATAACAATCACAGCTTTATGTATCACAGATATTGAACTGTACGCCTTGTAAAAAAAATTATCACAAATTAATGTACAAAAATGGTCTTGTTTAAAAAAAAATTTAAAGGAAAAGAAAACAAGCAAAGAGCTCTTATAATACAATAATTAGATTCCGTTTGGATTTTTCAACGAAATCTTTACATTGCTTTCAAGTAAAACCATCGTTTTACTCATACATCTGTTTGAACAGAAAAACAATCACAGAAACACCAGCAAGCAGGGAGTTGAGATACAAACACTGAGAGGAGCCATTCCCCAGAGAGTTTGCAAGCACGAGCTCATCGGCTTGTAAATTTGATGGCGACTCTTCAGGCTTATGTTGTATTTCGTTTGGTGTACTCTCTCGTCCATTTTTAGTAGATTCTTCTTCTTGTTGTTGTTCATGGTCAGACGCCAACTGAGATTGGAACTGTTGAAAATCTAAACATTTAAAAAAAAAATTATTAAAAAAAAACACACAAAAAAAAACTACAAACCTTTTATAAGAAAAAGAACCGCACAATTACTGCCATATTTCATAACAATGCAACTTGGGGGAGCTACCACCTTCTACCAAGCGCGTCCCCAGGTGGCGGATAGGGGAAAAAACCTTAGATATAAGGGTTAGCTGTGAATAGCAAATAAACAGCCGCGGACCAACTGGTTTGCAGTCATGGAGGATGAGGTAAAGTATTCCAGTGGTTAGAATATTTACTAAAAACATCTCAGAAATCCAGGGAAATGATTGCAAAAAGCGAGTATAGGGCGCTCTAACTCAAAGCCCGGGTAGATGAAACTCGTTAGCTAGGGATAGCAGTTCATCTAGGAGAGAAAACTCCGAAAATAAACACCTGCTGCCTTGCAGATGATCTTGGATGATCAAAGGCTATGGGAGCACACAAAGAAAGAAAAGCAGGCTGAATGCGGAGTCAATGGGCCTCCTGGCGCAAAACACATTGACACGCAACCTCATCTATGTTGTTCAGTAACGATTCTAATAGATGTGGCGTCCTGCCTGTGGAATCCCGCCGCGCAGGTAGGGGGCCGGGCTCTCCGCCTCGAAGGAGCCCACACAAGCGAGCTGGTGGTTCTTCTATCTCTGCCTGTGCAGCCAGGAGCAGGGACAAAAAAGTAAATACTACTGGCCAACACTCCAAGACCAAAAGTCTAAAAATCCTACAATGGAACGCAGAGGGCATCCGAAAGAAAAAAAGAAGCTCTAAAAATATTTCTGCATGAGAAAGAAATTGATGTAGCTTGCATCCAAGAAACTCATTTGAACAGTAATCTTCGTTTCTCCATTAGAGGCTACACCTGCATCAGACAAGATAGAGAAATCAGATCCAAAGGAGGAATCCTCACCCTCATTGAAAATGACATCCCTACTACAGACATAACTATGCCCAACTCCTCAGAATCAGAAATAATGGGAACTAAGCTAATTCTCCCAGATGGAAATATTAATCTATTTAACTGCATATTCCCACCAGACAAGGAAATAGAGATTGACCACATACAAATACCTGACCAAGAAGACTGTCTTATCTTAGGAGATATGAATAGTCACTCTCAGAGCTGGGGATACTCAGACCTAAATGCCAGGGGAGAAGAAATTGAAGAATGGCAAGCAGAGAACAGACTTATCTTGCTTAACAAACCTGAGGATAAACCAACCTTTTTCTCAAGAGCCTGGCTAACATCAACCACTCCAGATCTAGCTTTTGCAACTGACAACTTATCCAAAAAATGCACCAGAGAAGTTGCAGACCAACTAGCCACCAGTGACCACAGACCCATATTGATCAGTATGGATACCTCCTTCAAAATATCAGAAAACTCCACCATCCCCAAATGGAACTACAAAAAAGCCAACTGGCACCTATTCTCAAAGCTCACAGACCTATACACAACTTCAATAAACTGCAAATCAAATCAGGTTAATAAGTCATACTCAGCTTTCTCCAAAGCAATCCTCCTAGCAGCTAAGGAATCAATTCCTAGAGGAGCAAGAAAAGATTAAATCCCCAACTGGTCTGATCACCTTCAACAACTCCACAATGCCACTATTGAAGCCAGAAACACAGTAGAAAATAACATAAATCTAAAAGCAGCTAACGCAGTTTTCAGGAAAAATTACCTTTCCGCCATGAGGAAAAGTTGGCATGAAAAAACAGAACAGCTAAACTTAGAGACGGCCACAAACTCTGGCGTTTAGCCAAATGTCTCAACCAGGAAGAAAACAGAACAACTCCTATAGTAATAAAGAAGGACAACAAACCCCTGAAAGGCAAAGAAGCAGCAAATGAATTCATTAAGTTTTTCCAAAGCGTAGGAAAAATACAAATCAATGAAAGTAGAAATGAAGATGTAAACTCAGAAATCCAAGATAGAATTAAAGAAAACAATCCAGCTTACTCCTTGGGAATGACCACTAATCTTAAAATGAAGGAACTTGATGAATCCCTAAAAGTCCTCAAACCAAAACAAGCCCTGGGCCCAGACAAAATATCTAATGACATGCTTCTTCACTTGGGTCCTCAAGCCAAAAAAAAATTTGCTACAAATATTCAATGCTAGCTGGAAATCTGGCAGAATTCCAAACATCTGGAAAAAAGCCATTATGATCCCTATACTAAAGCACGGCAAACCAAGAAAAAAACTGGATAGCTACCGCCCCATCAGCCTCACTAGCTGTACTTGCAAACTGATGGAAAGAGTGATAAATAGAAGGCTGACATGGATCCTTGAGTCAAATAACCTACTCACTGAAGCCCAGGCTGGCTTTAGAAAAGGCAGATCAACAGAAGATCAAATCGCCTTTATCACACAAGAAATAGAAGATGGCTTTCAAGAAAAGAAACCAACAACAATTGTGTTAGAATTGTGACTTAGAAAAAGCATTTGACAAAGTTTGGGAACAAGGTCTCTTGCTCAAACTAATCCAGCATCACATATCCCACAGAATGTACAACTGGATAAAGGAATATCTAAATAATAGAAAAGAAGAAAAATAGAAAGATTTAGTTTGCATGCAAGGACAAAGAAGCCACACAGTGGGTATAAAAAAATGGCGTCCCCCAAGGAGGAGTCCTATCCCCAACACTTTTCCTAATATTCATAAACGATCTAAATCAAAACCTACCAAGAAAAGTTAAAAGCAGCATGTATGCAGATGACCTTGCCTTAATTAGCACAGAAGAATATGTAGGAACATCGAAATTTCGATTACAAGATGCTCTCGATATACTCAACAATTTTTCCAAAGACTGGGGCATGTCCATCAACACAAAAAAGACCACATATACCATATTCTCACTGTCAACAAAACAACAGACAATAAAATTAACATTAGATAAGGAAGCTTTAGAAAAAAATGACAGCCCTACATACCTTGGAGTCACCTATGACCCGAGACTAACCTGGAAAAGCCAAATAGATAAAACACAGAGTAAAGGCATCCAGAGACTATCCCTCTTGAAAAAATTAGCTGAAACAGATTGGGGAGCAAATCACAACATCCTGAAAAAGACCTATACCAGTTACGTGAGACCTGTACTAGAATATGGTGCCACAGCATGGGGCTCAGCAGCCCAAACCAACCTAAGGAAAATAGACAAGGTTCAAAATATTGGTCTAAGGATAATGACAGGAGCAATCAAAACAACACCCATAAGAGCTATGGAGGAAACCGCTGCCCTGATCTCTCTGGATGAAAGAAGAGAAATAAAAATCCTTTCCAATTCACTAAATTGGAAACCATGGAGAGGCACCCACTCAGAACAAAAATTCACAAAAATGGCACCAAAAAACATCTCAAAAGGACCAATGTCATACAGGAATCTCTAAACCTAAAAAAGAAACACCAACTTGAAAAAATTACTCTGGAATCCTCGATACACTATTATGAATCTCCACCCTGGGACGAAAGCCCTCTTCCTACTATAAGGGACCATATTGAAAGCATAAAAAGAAAATCTGATTACAGACCAACAGAGCTCAAGAAAATAGTGAACTGTTTTCTACGGTGACCCGTCTAAATTGCGCGGACAAAATAGCGCCGACAAAATAGCGCGGACAAAATAGAGCCGACAAAATAGCGCGAAATTTCCCGACAAAATAGCGCAAGACAAAATAGCGTGGACTTATGTATGATGTGTAAAAGAGCACCGGATTATTAATAATTTAATGTCCTGGGTATCATTTTTGTTGATGTTTTTATCTTTTTCAATGAAGCTCGGACAGATGTTGTAGGAAATTTGTATGACTATTTGGAGGAAAACTATATTAGTCGCCAGAGACGAAACCGCAAAGTGACTCCAAGATTTCCAATAGCATTATGGAATGTTAGAGATCGTGGGCAAGACAATCTACCACGAACAAACAATTCAGTGGAGAGATAGTACCATGCATTTCAGCTGTCTGTTGATGGTCATCACACTAATGTGTACAAGTTTATCTCTCACTTCCTCAGAGAACAGGAGAACACTAAGAACAAGATTCTGAGGTACAATGCTGGAGAACGAAGTAAAGCTGCAAAGCAAGACAAAGTACCTTCAAATTAACAGACGACTTGAAGCGTTATAGCCAATGTACGGAAACAAGCCAGTGGTGGAATTTCTACGTGACATTTCCTTCAATTTAACTTTGTGATTGTTTGTGTTTGTGTGTGTGTGTAAATTTGACATGTATGTTTGCGTGTTTTCGAAGTACAGTTTTATAATGTAAATAAATGCTATATTTTGAAATTATTCATTTTATTTTATTATGATTTTTTTAAAGTGTTTCCTGCAAAATGACTGAAAAATTA